GGAGTCATTTTAAACTCAGAATGAACACTCAATTGAATGTAAAAATTTGACTGATGTGCAGAAATTTGAGGGAATTCATTTACCCCTGGAGAGAAGAGAGAGAAGTACCACTAAACAACAATGATACTGTTTACATTGTGAATTCAGTTGTTGTTATTTTGCTAGTCTACTCTATACTCACATATTATAGGGTGTATACTTCTGAAAAAAAAATAGGTATGCTTCAGGTTCATTTTAAAGGAATATGCTATGCTTGTGAAATGCCTTTATTCCTTTTTAATTTCCAAGCAACCAATTATTAAACACCAATGACATATTTAAGCTGATGCTCATTTTCTGTTTCTTTGCCTGGTTTCTGAGTCACTGCCTGCTTCCTCTCCCACCATCTCTCTCAGTCTCCTTTCCTGGCTTCTCTTGGCCCACCTCCCCCCAGGTAGTGGCCTGGGGACCACTACCTACTGTTTCTTCACATTTTATATTCTAGGCAACTGTACTGAGGTCTGTGACTTCAGTTATCACTTACACATCAATAACTCCCAAGTCTGTAACCACACCATTCGCCATTGTCCAGGGCCCACACTCATAGTTCCAAGTGCCTGCTCATCCCTGTGTGTGAATATTCTCAAGCCACCTTGAACTCATTCTGTCTAAAATGGAACCCAATATCCTCGATCCCAAACCCTTGATTCCCAGTGCATCACCTATCAAACACACCGCACACACCCACATACTCAGTCATGGAGCTGAGTACCTCCTAGATACTGACCACTTTCATACCCAGAGCTTTCAAAATGAAGCTGGAAACCTGGGAAAAAAGCATTGCCTTTCAAGAATCTTCAATGCCATACCCCCCTGCGATACATTATCTCCAGGTGAATCCTGAATTGCTTCAGGGGAGACCTGGAGGGACAAAAGGACCAGGACTGGAAGTACTAGTTTTTTTCCTTTGTTTGTTTTACATCCCATTTAACTAAAGCAGCTTCACTTTTTTTTTTTTTTGAGACAGAGTACTGGGGATTGAACCTAGGGCCTTGTGGGTGGTAGGCATGTGCTCTATCACTGAGCAGAACCCCAGCCCCCTCTTTTATCTCTTTGAGATGCTGGCTAAATTTTTTTTTGACGGAAGGGTTTTGCCATTTAAGTAGGGGTTGAAAATAACTGACATGGGTCCCGTCTTCTTGGGGTGATAGACAAAGCTCCATGTGCCTGTCCTACTACATGAGGATTTCCTGCTGTTCTTATGTTCACCTTGGGCCAAAGTAACCACAGCCCCTTGGTATGTTCTTTTTTTTTCCACCTCTTTGTCTTTAAACATGCAAACATTTCCTTGGAGTAGAATGCTCCTCGTACCTCCAGTATTTTGTCTGCATGGTGAACTCTTATTCATCCCTCAGCACCCAGACTAGACATCATGCTCCTGTGAAGCATTTGCTGACCTCATCTGGCCTCCACACAGTGCCTCCTGCCCCACTTAGCTCTCTGTCTCCATGAGTTGCACACCTCTGCTCTGCCCTCCCACACCCATAGGCAGCTACTTACTTGCTTCTCTCTCTCACTGGATGGTGATCTCCTTTAGGGCGGGATCATATTGTCTCTTACTCCATCCCCAGGCCTATACCCAGCAGAGTGTCTAGCACTGAGGCAGTAAGCAAACATTTCCTGGATGAATCTCTTAATGAATATCCATTCAATATCTCCTTTGCTGTCATCAGGTCTACATGAGCTCCAATTAGAAGGTGGTCCATG